TTATGATGGAGGGAAGGTCATTGATGAAGCAGCTGAAGATGGTTGGGCTGAAGACACTACCCTGAGGACCTCCTGCAGAGATAGAACATAGAACAGTACAGCACAGTACAGGCCCTTCGGCCCACGATGTTGTGCCGAACTTTTACCCTAAGGTCTATCTAACCTCCACCCCTACCTTATACTATCATCCATATGCCTATCTAATAGCTGCTTAAATGCCCCTAATGAGGCCGACTCCACTACCCTCTCCGGCAATGCATTCCACGCCACTACCGCTCTCTGAGTAAAAAACCGACCTCTGATGTCTCCCCTATATATACCTCCACTCACTTTAAAACTATGCCCCCTCATAATAGCTACCTCTACCCTAGGAAAAAGTCTTTGGTTGTCCACTTTATCTATACCTCTGATCATTTTGTACACCTCTATCAAGTCACCTCTCATCCTTCGTCATTCTAAAGAGAAAAGCCCTAGCTCTCTCAACCTTTCCTCGTAAGACCTTCCCGCCATTCCAGGCAACATCCTGGTAAATCTCCTCTGCACCTTTTCCAATGCTTCCACATCTTCCCTGTAATGAGGCGACCAGAACTGGACACAATACTCCAGATGTGGCTGAACCAGGGTTTTGTATAGCTGGAGCATAACTTCACGTCTCTTGAACTCAATCCCTCTATTAATGAAAGCTAACACACCATACGCCTTCTTAACAACTCTATCCAACTGGGTGGCAGCTTTCAGGGAACTGTGGACATGAACCCCAAGATCCCTCTGTTCCTCCACACTGCCAAGAATCTTTCCATTGACCCTGTATTCTGCTTTCAAGTTTATCCTTCCAAAATGAATCACCTCACACTTTTCAGGGTTAAACTCCATCTGCCATTTCTCAGCCCAGCTCTGCATCCTATCAATGTCCCTTTGTAACCTAATATGTCCTGGAGCTGAGATGATTGACCTCCAACAACCACGACCATCTTCCTATGTGCCAGGTATGACTCCAACCACTGGGGAGTTTGCCCCCTGATACCCATTGATTCCAGTTTTGCTCGGGCTCCTTGATGCCACACTCGGTTGAATGTAACCTTGAGTTACACTAACCTGTCCTCTGGACCTGATTTTGTAAAATAGGCAATTCAACTAATTTTGTAAAATAATTTGCTTCTGTGGTCAATTTATGCATTTCCTAGAAAATTTTCAAATTGTTCATGGGTGGCACAGTGGCTCAGTGGTTAGCATTGCTGCTTCACAGTGCCAGGGACCCGGGTTCAATTCCATCCTCAGGCGACTGTCTGTGTGGAGTTTGCACATTTTCCCCGTGTCTGCGTGGGTTTCCTCCAGGTGCTCCGGTTTCCTCCCACAGTCCAAAGATGTGCAGGTTAGGTGGATTGGCCATGCTAAATTGCCTGCAGTGTTCAGGGACGTGTAGATTAGGGGGATGGGTCTGGGTGGGATGCTCTGAGGTTCAGTATGGACTTGTTGGGCCGAAGGGCCTGCTTCCACACTGTAGGGATTCTATGATTCTAAACCTCCCTGATTTGTAAGAGAGACGCAGGGGTTAGAATTCGCTGTGTGTTCCCAGGTAAGGAATTCACAGTTCAATCAGCCATAACATAAAATTTAAACATGTTTCATTACTATTTCATTAAATGGTAACAGTGCGCTATAAAATACCATCAAAATGAAATTGAAATTTAGGTCAAAAATCTGGAAAAGGTATGGAGTTCATTAACAGTGATCAAGCCACTTTAAGCTGCTTTCAATTTCCCTCCACTGCACAGACAGCCCACTGCAAACTTCAGCAACTTGGTTACAATGTAAACTGTCATAGAAACAACGGCCAGGGAAAACAGAATGACATCGAGGAGGTACTGCTGGTACCAGGGCTGATCCAAGCCAAACGGTCGAAGGTGACTCCCTCCATGCTGCACAATATGGTCCACCCATCGAACCAGCCGCTGATGAGGGGGGAATGGATGTGAGCGATGAATGTGGCTTAGGGTCAGTGCTGAAGCCTTGTACCTGATTGAAAGAAAAAGAATTATTCCATTTTCTTCCATTATTGGAACTTTTTTAAAAAGTCTTTTCTGTCTCTCTCTTCTGCCGCGGTCTGTAGGGCACTCGAAGCCTGACAGGAAATTGCATTCTTGGGCAAAACTGACAAAGCTGCACTCACAGCCCAGTCGTCTGGGGGGCATCAATGGTCAACCATCTGGTGCAAGAGGGAAGATGAATGTTAGCTCGACTGGTTAGAGGTAGAAGAGTTCCTGAAACACGAAACTAAACACTGCCCAAATTGGTCAACTCAAAATCGGTCCAACCCAGCAGACAGAGGAGGAGCCATTGTCATACAGAACAGAACAGACTACTGCAGAGAAGTATACAGACAACTGAACAACCAGGAAACATACAGACAAATACCTGCCAATCAAACCAAAGAACACAACCTGTGACTGGTCAAGACTTTTGATCCAGACCTTCAGAGTACCCTACGCACTCTAATCCCACGTACTTACCGCGTGGGAGACTTCTACTGCCTTCCAAAGATACACAAAGCCAACACACCTGGACATCCCATTGTACCAGGAAATGGAACCCTGTTTGAGAATCTCTGTGGTCATCTCGAGGGCATCTCAAAACCCATTGTACAGGGAACCCCCAGCTTCTGTAACGACACTACAGATTTCTTACAGAAAATCAGCACCCATGGACTAGTCGAACCAGGAACATTCCTCGTCACAATGGACGTCTCTGCACTCTATAACAGCATCTCCCATGACTACAGCATCGCTACAACAGCCTCAGTACTCAATACCAACAACTGCCAATTTCCAGACACCATCCTATAACTCATCCGCTTCATCCTCAACCACAACGTCTTCACCTTCGACAACCATTTCTTCATCCAGACACATGGAACAGCCATGGGAACCAGATTTGCTCTCCAATACGCCAACATTTTCATGCATAAGTTTGAACAAGACTCCTTTGCTGCACAGAATCTCCAACCAACGCTATACACCAGGTAATCTGATGACATTTTCTTCCTTTGGACTCATGGCGAGGAATCACGGAAACAACTACATAACAATATCAACAAGTTTCATCCCACCATCAGGCTCATCATGGACTATTCTTTACAATGAGTCTCATTCTTGGACACACACATCTTCATCAGGGACAGACACCCCTGTACCTCACTCTACCAGAAGCCCACAGATAACCACACGATGCTGCACTTCTCTAGTTTCCACCCAAAACATATTAAAACAGCAACCCCCTACAGACGAGCCCTACACATACACAGGATCTGCTCGGATCAGGAGGAACAAGACAGACACCTGAAGGTGTTGAAGGACACCGTCATAGGAACAGGATATGATGCTCAACTCATCGATTGCCTGTTCCAACGTGCCACAGCGAAAAACCATAACAATCTCCTCAGAAGACAGACAAGGGATACGTCCGATAGAGTACCCTTCGTCATCCCCATGTTCTTCACAGCCGTCATCACATTATTGATGCTGATGAGCTCCTCGCCAAGATCTTCCCCACGCCTCCACTTCTCGCCTTCAAACAACCACCAAATCTGAAACAAACCAGTGTTCGCAGCAAACTCCCCAGCCTTCAGAACAGCATCGACCACAACACAATACAACCCCGTCATGGTAACCTCTGTAAGACATGTCAGAGCATCGACATGGACACTACCCTCACACGTGGGAACACCACCCACCACGTGCTCGACAGATACTCATGTGACTTGCCCAACGTTGTCTATCTCATACGCTGCAGGCAAGGATGCCCCGGGGCATGGTATATTGGTGAGACCGTGCAGACGCTATGACAAAGGATGAATGGAAACTGTGCAACAATCACTAGACAGAGATGTTCCCTCCCACTGGGGGAACACTTCAACGGTCAAGGACATTCGGCCTCGGATCTTCGGGTAAATGTCCTCCAAGGCAGACAGGAGACACAATAACGCAGAGTTGCTGAGTAGAGGCTGATAGCCATGTTCAGGCCCCATGAGGACAGCCTCAACCAGGATCTTAGGTTCATGTCGCACTACAGGTGACCCACCACACTACACACACTCTCTCTCACACACACACACACACACACACACACACACACACACACAGACAGACACACACACACACACAGACAGACAGACACACACACAGACACTCCCTCACACACACACACACACACACACCACACAGACACACACACACACTAACACAAAACCCACACACACACACACACACTCACACATACCACATACCACACACACACACACACACACACACGTGAATCTATTGGGTGAATTTGTATTTGCAGATACATTCTATTTTGTTCAAAAAACACACAATTTATAGACAGTCGGTCAATGTGGTGTTTTATAATTTCCTAGTATAGAAATAAAACCTGTCTGAATCCAAACCAAAACACAAACAGATTCTAAATAAGGCCTTACACCTAACATGCACTGTGAATGTCACCTCTTCTTTACACCAATAAAGCCTTTAGTTCTCTCAGCACAGTGACTTGAAAGGAATTTGGGGATTTACATATACATATTAATCAATTAAAACCTTCTAACTGATTAAAGGTTTAACAGCATAGTAGCTTTGTTTAATACATTCTCATCAGTGGTGTGACCCTTTGATCTTTTACTTATAAATTCTGTGTCTGATACTACCTCTCTCACTAACACCTGAAGAAGGACTGAATCTCTGAAAGCTTGTGTTTTCAAATAAATCTGTTGGACTATAACCTGGTGTTGTGTGATTTATGACCTTGTCTGCCCCAGCAGCACCTCAACATCATCTCTCAAAATTTGGGCATTGAAAGAGTTTCACATGATGCACTGTGCCTGGGCCAGAAAAGAAGAGTGGTCCAGTTTAATCTCCATGTCCCATAGTAAGAGAAGAACTGCCAGATAGAGTCACAGATCTCTATAGCATGGAAACAGGCCCTTCAGCCCAACTTGTCCATGCTACTCAGCTTTCACAATTAAACTAGTCCTGCGTTTGGTCCATATCCCTCCATATCTATCCCATCCATGACTCTCACCATGGGGAAATGCTCTATCTACCTTCTCTATGCGTCTAATGATCTTATAGACCTTTACGAGGTCACCCTTCAGTCTCCTACACTCCAGGGAAGAAAGTCCCAGCCTATTCAACCTCTCTGTATAACTCAAACCTTCTAATCCAGGGAGCATCCTAGTAGATATGTAGTAGTGATGCTGCAAACAAATAACACAAAGAACACAACCCCAGGGCTTCACAGCACTTTGGGTAGACATTCACAGGAGCTATGTACAAATAAAATCTCAACATACTCTTACAACATTGTACATACCGCTTGTCTTCTATAACTGTTGCCATGGCATTGCCCAGAGCCTGCAGCTGGTTGACTTGGATGGTCAAACCAAGGCCTTTTGCCTCTACTCTCACCATGTTATCAAACTGATCTCCAAACAGTGGGATTCCAATCACGGGCACTCCATGGTACACAGCTTCCAGCAGACTGTTCAGGCCACCGTGGGTCACCAAGAGACGAGCCTTTGGGTGACCTAGCAGCACACAAAGAGTTAACATCACATCAGATGAAACAGGTCCATTCTCACAGCATCACACACAGACTCTCCAATTCCCACTGGCACCCCTTTTATTCTCAAATCAATACCAAGTAGGCAGCAGAACTGAAAACAAAAAAAAAATTCTGGAGATCACAGCTGGTGAAGGGTCATATCAACTGTTGTTTGGACTTGAAACGTTAGCTTGCTCCCTCCCTCCACAAATGTTGCCTGACCCACTGTGAACATTTATTTTCTGTTGTCAGTTCAGGTTCCAGCATCTGCAGTAATTTGCTCCTGACATTAGAGGGCAGTCTGTGCATGGAGCTGGAGGACACGGATAACATGGAAACAAATACTGTCCACCCTGGCATTCATTCACCATCCAGCATTCCTCATGTGGGGCAGAGGAGCAAATCAATGGAGGCCCTGGTGGAGCATAGAAGGTGCACTGGCGACTTAAGAAAGCAATTAGAAAGGCAAAGGGGGACATGAGAAAATATTGTCAAGCAAGATTAAAGGGAATCCCAACACAATATATCTAAAAGGAAGATAATACCCAGGGAAAGAGTAGGGTCCATTAGGGACCAAGAGGGTAATCTGTTTGTGCAGCCAGAGGATGTTGATGGAGTGTTAAATGCACACTTCACATCTGTCTTTCCTCAGGAGAAGGTGGATCCAAGTACAGAATTTGGGAAGATGGAATGAGATGTTCTTGAGCAAATTGTTACAGGGAGTGGGGGAGTATTTGAGGTTTTGGTGAGTTTAACAGTGGACACATGCCCAGGTCTGGATGGGTATATTCTAGGCTGCTGTGGGAAATGAGGGAGGAAAGTACTGGGGCCCTGACACAAACTTTAATTTCTCTCTGGCCACAGGGGAGATGCCACAGGATTGGACGACAGTTAATGTGGTTCCAATTTACAAGAAGGGTGGTGGAGATAGAGCAGGAAACTATAGATCAGTGGGAGGGAAACTGTTGGAGAAAATTCAGAAAGAGAGAATGAATCTCCACCTGGAGGGGCAAGATTTGATCAGGGATAGTCAGTGTGGCTTTATCAGAGGAAGGTCACACTTGACAAACCTGGTGAAATTTTTCGAGGATGTTACAATGGGTTTGAATGAGGGTAGGGCAGCTGATGAAGTTTATATGGATTTCAACAAGGCCTTTGACAAAGTCCCACATGGGAAACTGATACAGGAGGTAAAAGCTCATGGGATCCAGAGTAACTTTGGAAATTGGATCCAAAGCTGGCTTAGTGACAGGGGACAGTGGATGGTGGTAGGAGGCTGTTTGTGTGACTGGAGCCCGGTGTGCAGTGGTGTAAGACAGGGAGCAGTGCTGGGTCCCTTACTGTTTGTGATATTCATAAACAATGGAGAT